CCCCCAAAAAAAAAAGAAAGAACGAAAGAAAAAAGATGGCTATTAGTGATCAAGAGCAGAGCAAAGTTCAGTCACCACGGCTGACTTTCTGGCCAATCTTGGCCCAGAAGGCGGGGGATGGAAAGCGTGCAAGATGATACATTATGTTCTCCAGAGCCTCGCCGAGCAGTCCAAGTCCGCAGAGGACGGCGAGCGGTTCACGGAACCGGAGCATAGCACACACTCGGACGGGCAAAGATGGTCTCAATTAAATCGCCGTCTCTGACGCACATGTCGCACGCGCAGGTTCTGTTGGTCGTGTGCGGCGTCAGCTTCGCCTTCCTCGTCGTGCTGCTCCTCCGTCAGCTCGTCAAGCAGAGGAGACCCCCGGGATTCCCCCCCGGGCCTTCTCCCATCCCTGTCATTGGGAACATTATGTCTCTGGTCACCGAGCCGCACGTTTTCCTCAAGAAGCAGAGTGAAGTTCACGGACAGGTACGGTCATTGTCTCTCTGCACAGCAATGCACGCGGCGTTACGAAACCAGCGCTGAGAATCCCTGCATGCCTCATGCAAAAAAAAAAAAAAAGTTGCAGTGCAGCCTATGCCTTGTCATAACTTTTTAGAAAGGTGTTTTGAGCTCATACCAGCTTATGCACAGCGTCTGTTTGCTGTCTTCAGTTCGCTTTAGAATAGTTGTTCCTTCGCTTATGGGTTTAAATCGTTCAGTGACAGAGCTCATAACTCAATTTACTCGAACCTCAAATCAACCTTCCCCATTGAAATGCATTGAAATGCTTTTAATCCGTTCCAGACTCCCCCTAAACATTGTTTTGTTGCATGTTTTTAATAGACTGACAGTACACAAGTGACTAGCACATCTGCCTGAACATACTGCGGTCCAGAGTTTGAATCGGTACTCCGGTTTTCCTGTGTGGAGTTTTCATGTTCCCCTCATTCTTGCATGAGTTTCTCAGGGTACTCATGCTTCTTGCCACAAAATTGTCACTCTGCGCCCTCGGGTGGCTGGCGACCAATTCAGGGTGCAACTGGCCTCAGCAAGGATAGGCTCCAGCTCAGCTGCAACTCCTTTGAAGATAAGCGGTATAGAAAACACATGGTTGATGTTTTTAAATTAAAATAGTTCCCTATTTTAAAATCTAAATTAAAAACCACATTATAAATGAATATAAAGAAATAACCCGGTTCTATGAAGGTGTAAGAAAGTCCCAAACACAGACTGCAGTATTTGTGCTGATGCTTGCCTTTTCAAGGACAGCCCTAACTTGAAAAACTTGGAAGTCAAGGTCCCAATGCACTTTATTGTTAAAATGTTTCTTGCAGACAGTGTTAAAGGGTTAGAACACTTTAGAAACAGTCAATATTAAATGTGATACTGATACTTATACTGAAACTAAGTCGAATACTGATACGAATACTAAAACTAAAAGTAAAACTAACATTGATACTAAATTGAAAACTAACTAAATCAAACATTGATAATAAATGTAATACTGATACGAAGTATTTAATTTAATACTAAAACTAATATTAAATCTAATATTGATACTAACACTAAAACTAAAAGTAAAACAAAATCTAAAACAACTACTAATACAGAAACGGATCCTAAATCTCAAACTCTTATCAATTTCCGGCCCGAGGGAAGCAAAGGTGAAAGGGATGTCCTTCCCAGAGCAGTATGTCTTTGGCCTGATTGAGGGACCTACTTTTTGAAGACCCTTGACCCACTTTGCAAAGGCTCATGTGGTCATGTGTGTCTTTCAGATTTTCAGTCTGGACCTTGGAGGGATCTTGACTGTGGTGCTGAACGGCTACGACTGCGTCAGGGAATGCCTTTATCATCAGAGCGAGGTTTTTGCCGACCGGCCATCCTTGCCTCTCTTCAAGAAAATGACGAAAATGGGTGGTGAGAACAGAGTGATGCTTTGGATTTGCATTGTAAAAGAAAAACAGTCAATGTTATTGATAGAGCACCAACTCACAACAGCACAAGAACCACACCTGAGATTTCAGCTCAGACCAGGATTTAATGTGCACTCTTCCAATTACACTCGGAACAATGTGTTGCGGTGATTCGGGTATTAATTGTAGTAGAACAGTGGTACCTATAATTGTCAATCAAATCACTCATATCTCTAACTAAAGAGATAATAATATCAATAAATGCAATTAGATTAACTGTCGCAGAGGTAAAAGTGTTGGTGTTTTTGGCTTCTACAAATGCCCACTTGTGGGAGGAGGAAGAGAGAGACATGAACAAAATAACAAAGAAAAGAATCGGAAGTGAATAATGACTCAAAATGAAACATTCAACTAATGAGAGTTGTTCTTCCAAAGGTCTTCTCAACTGCAAATATGGCAAGAGCTGGATCGAGCACCGCAAGTTGGCATGCAACTCGTTCAGGTACTTCGGCAGCAGTCAGAGGCTGTTTGAGAGGAAGATCTCGGAGGAGTGCATGTTCTTCGTGGATGCCATTGACGAGCACAAGGGCAAGGCCTTCAACCCCAAACACCTGGTGACCAACGCCGTCTCCAACATCACCAATCTGATCATCTTCGGCCAGCGCTTCACCTACGACGACAGCAATTTCCAGCACATGATCGAGATCTTCAGCGAAAACGTGGAGTTGGCAGTGAGCAGCTGGGCCTTCCTCTACAATGCCTTCCCTTGGATTGAGTATGTGCCCTTCGGGAAACACCAAAAGCTTTTCCGCAATGCGGCTGAGGTGTACGACTTCCTGCTACAAGTCATCAAGAGGTTTTCTCAAGGACGGGTGCCGAATATACCGCGGCATTACGTTGACGCCTATTTGGATGAGTTGGAGCAGAATGCGGGAAACCCCGATTCGTCGTTCTCCTACGAGAACCTCATCTACTCGGTGGGGGAGCTAATCATCGCGGGCACCGAGACCACCACAAACACCCTGCGCTGGGCCATGCTCTACATGGCCCTCTACCCCAATATACAAGGTCAGCTATCATACACTCTTAAAAGTGCTTAGTCAAAAGTAACCCAAATAGCCAACCCAACGATGAGGTCCAAAAGGGACTGAGCCAATGCTGGGTTATTTATACCCACCGTATTGGGTTGACAATTTCACCCAGCACGTTGGGTCAAGATTTTGATCCAACAAGGTGTAAAAACTAACCCTACTGATCCAGAAAGGTATGGGTTCCCAGATTATAAGTATAGAGTAGCGTTGGTTAAAAATGCTAATTTTATGACCACGATTTTCGAAGAAATAGCAATTTTCTCCTTGTCAGGGGTCACCAAAGCAAGTCACTAACCTGATATATTTGACACCGTTTTTCCATCAGATACCCTTCCTAACACAGCCCACCCAGTTGCTGTGGGTTTGCCCATTGGCCCTGACCAGGATTTGAACCTTAGCCCTATGCCTAAAGTCAGCAATTTTAGCCACCAAGCCATCAAACTGCCATCAATTCTTTCTGAGAATGTTACAATAAACATACTTCAACATCAGTATACGTCCGAAATGGTGCCCAGGTTCAGCTCTTCACTTGCCCAAATGCACTGGGTTAAATTACTGTAACTAACCCAACCTTGGGTAACAGAAAACCCCCCCCCCACCCCCACAAGGGTTCATAATTGCGGCAAATTATTAATTTTGCCAAAAAAGAAACTTCTAAACTCACTTCAACATAGTTCCACAGTAAAACAGTGGTGCCTTGACCTACAAGTTTCCGGCCTGGAATGAATAGAAATGCTTTTCAGTCTGAGCTATGTCGAATGTGTTTTTTTCAGAAGAAAAACTCTTTTACATTGTGATTCATAAAAACATAGAGAAACAGACATATTTAAATAGATTGTAAAGAATTGAACAGTTTGCGCATCATGATTAATTCATTGAGGCTCCTTCTGGCATGTGGCATTTGGCTTATGGGACCGCCATCGAAAAGTTCAAACGGAAAAACAGAGTTTCAGGACATCATCTTTCTTAAATTTTTTCACACAATTTTATTTCCTGTTTACCCAAGCACAACATGAAAAAAAGATGTCATGATAGGCAATCTGCCAGTAGGTGTGGCTCTTTTTTTGGGGGGGTCTTAATGGGGTTTGTTGACTTTAGTGCTTGAAGTCCTTATAATTACACTTTGGAAAAGGAACGCCATTTTTCTTCATCAAAAACAAGTTACATTTTGGGTTTTTTTTTGGGGGGGGGGAAGCTGGATTGACTAAGTAATGCCATTATATGAGTAAATTAAGTTACGAGCATGTTCACGAGACTAGTTAAACTTGCAAGACAAAATATCACCGTAATAAACATAAAGCAAAGTTAAAACAACTGCAAAAACAGCATATGTTCTCAGACTGAGAAATATGTTGAAACAAACCATCTTGCTTTTAATGTGATTGCTACTTTGTTGCCTGATGTTCCGCAAACACAATGTAAACCACGTGTGTTGTGCTCTACAGAAAGGGTGCACAGGGAGATTGACAGCGTGCTGGCAAATGGGCGAGCACCCTCTTTGGAAGACAAACAGAAGATGCCCTTCGTGGAAGCCGTCCTGCATGAGGTTCTGCGTTTCTGCAACATTGTCCCACTCGGCATTTTCCGCGCCACCTCCCAGGAGGCGCATGTCAATGGCTACACCATTCCCAAAGGCACCATGGTGATCACCAACCTGTACTCAGTGCACTTTGATGAGAAGTACTGGTTGGATCCCGGCGTCTTCTCACCACAGAGGTTCCTGGACAGCAATGGTAACTTCGTGAGACGTGAAGCCTTCCTGCCATTCTCGCTGGGTGAGTAGACTCTTTGGACCTAATTATGACAAATTGAAGAAGCACTGTGTCAAACAAATTGTCTATGGGCCCACTGAACACTGACCTCGCGGTCGCACACATATTGTCTCACTAAACTGAAAAAATGCTACCCCTGGTGTTCTTATAGCCAGTTAGTATTATAAATAGTCAAGAGTCAAGTGTGATTGTGAAACACAATATACAATGTGTGTGTGTGTATGTGTGTGTGTATATATATATATATATATATATATATATATATATATATATATAATTTTTAAAGCTATTATTCATTCCCTCACTCATTCACTCAAGATTTAGCCTTGCCACGAAGAGCATCCGTCAGTATATGACCCCTAGACATTCCTCTTAAGTGTTTGTATTTGCTTCTCGATGCCATAAAGGAGTATTTTTGTCTAAATGAAGCTCTTCAACTCACTTTATTTTGTTTTCTTGTCACGAAGATGCCATCAGTCGGTTATAGGTATTTCTGTAGTGCAAATGACAGAGGTTTGGTTCATAAGCAAATAGGCAAATTTACAAATACCAAACTGCAAATATGCAGGGTTCACTGTAACTAAAGCCATTTACAAAGGAGCTAGCGCCTGTATCTAAAATTTTGTATTTACCAAGAGTTGCGACTTTTTCAAGATACAACCCGTCGTCGTGCCCATGTTTTGCTTTGAGTTGCGAGCAAAAATTTGAGGCATCAGCACTCTATGTACTGTCAAACTAAACATACAACAAGAGTATTACACATATTTAAATCAAGCATATACTTTTGCCAACAGATCTGCAAGTTTAATGCTAAAAGATCAAAGCAGTGATGTTTTAAAAATGGATACTTGAGCACAAACAGCGCAGCAACACATGCAGGCAGACAATATAACACTACTCAGGCATACATTATTTATCCTCTGAAAAAAATTGACTAATACAGCTGCAGTTACTTAGTCACTCAGAGTAGTTGTGAAGAGCTTCTTGGTTTATTAATATGTACTGTTCTGTGGACAGTACATATTGACAGTAGATGCCTTTTTGTACCAAAAGTTGTAGCTATTGGGTTTAGTTCCCAAAACTCAGCGGAAGACTTCCATTCACTTCTACCCAAATTGCAGCTTTTTTGTTGTGTGTTTTCTTTGTGTGTGTAAATTATGTACTTTGATATCATCGTTTTTTCGTTGTAGGGAGGCGTCACTGTCTCGGTGAGCAACTGGCCAGGATGGAGATGTTTCTGTTTTTCACTACTTTGCTCCAGAGGTTCCACCTTCAGTTCCCCCCCGGAAGCGTTCCCACAGTAGCACCCAAATTGGGCATGACCTTGCAACCCAAGCCTTACTCCATCTGCGCCCTCCGCAGGCAGCACAAAGACACTCCTTATCACAAGTAGGCATTAAGCACACAAGTTCATGTTCAAGCTCGATCGGATTTTTCTACAGCGACCTACTCCACAACACACAGGTGCTTAAGACTCTATCACCCGGGATTGTCGTGGTGCTTTTTTTTTTCTTCGTGGGACTCCCATATGGACGCGTGATCATTTAATTAGGCAATATGCGTATTTGCACAATTGGCACAAAGCTGTGCAATGCCGACTTTTTGAGACAGACGTGCATTATCGATCGGGTTCTGCGTAGCGCAGGACATGAAATGTCTCTGAACCTTGGCGAGCCAGGGATGTGTTAGGTATACGTTAATGATTGACACTAAGTACATTCGTGCTGGTTCACAGCCCTTCCTTCTCAGGGCAGCGTCAGGTCAGACAAATGACAGACGTCATTTGGAGCTGCGGGCTCAATCGACACTTTCCAAGAACATTCCGCACACGGCACGCTTTGGCTGGACATGAGCTGGCTTTACATCATCTGGACTGATTTCGTACACCTCTTGGGAGAGCTCTTTTTGGAAAAGCTTTCTCTTGGAAAGCCTATGTAAAAGCTGGTGGATTTCTTGAAATCACTTATTGTCCTTCATGGTGCTTGTCAGTACTTACAAAGTACTTCATCTAGATGTTTTTTGTTTGTTTGTTTGTTTGTTTGTTTTTGAATATTGGTGTTTTTATGTGTTCATTAAGTACTTGCTTAACAACAAAAGGCATACTTTCTGCTTTGTATTTCCATTTTGAATATTTTGGATGCAATACTTGAAGAATCAAAGGATTACTGAGAGCCACAACATAGTTAAGAGGAATTTCTATGTTGACTTGAGACTTGGTTTGTTTTGGTTTGTCTGAATACAAAAAAATAAATTAATAAATAGATAAAGGCCCATATTGATGCTAAGTGTCTGTGTAACGTTTATGAGTGACTGTATGGATGACTGGAATTTTCTTAGGAGAGTACAAAAATTGTACTTAACAGTGCTGTCACTTTTGATCAGAGGAAAAATGATTACTTGAGTCATTAGTCAGTGGGAAAAAAAATAATGTAGTGAGTAAATGGTAAGTAACCTATGATGTTTTAGTATTTTTTAATCAGAGCAGGAACGTCAAGTAGACAAAAATATATGATAATAAGAATGCACAACTTCAGATATTGCTCAATTAATTATTGATTAAGTTGATAATTGATTAGTGGTTGATTAATCGTTGCAGCTCTACTTTCTAAAGTTCGAATTATAATTCTTGTAGGCTGTTGACACACGACAGCCTGATGCCATACATTAGCTGTTCTTTTTTCAAAGTCTCTAAGGTCAACATAGATTGAATGTCAGGCCAGGGACATTGTGCCTCCTCTGACTGCAAGCGATGCCTCTTTCAGAACAAAAGTGAAATATCGCAATCCGTTGTCTCACGTTTGTTCGTGGGGGTGACTACACCATGGTTGCTTCAGCAGATAGTAGAAGGAGCTCCTCCTCCTCCGACAGAAAAGAAAAAAAAGTTTGAACATCGCTTGTCAATCTGGTTACCAGTGGTTTTGTTGGCTTCTAAATTCCATGTTGGTTGATAGTTCAACTGCTGTAAACAATTCAGTCCACTCACAAGATACTTCAACTTCTTTGCTCCCAATTCTGCTCCTTTTTTTGTCTCTGTCCTGGCCGGTAAAGGACGCTGACTGTGTTGGTGTGAGTTTAAAAAAAAAAAAAAAAAAAGGATCGTTATTCCTGAGAATTCAATGTTAAAATTAAGGAGACAAAATTCAATTATTTTCAATCAGTTGTTTTATGTTGTACTTTTGTAGAAACATCAACCCGTATAAGTGAGGGGGTATTCAAAGTATAACGAAAGGGTTTGGGGGAAAACAAGGCAAAAAAGGTTGGGCGCCACTGCAGTGGACAGTTGCATTATGCAGTATATACAGTCTTACAAAAATGAGGAGAGCCAAAAATCGCTGTCACCAGTCAATGGCTAGCATTCAGGGCCTTGCCATGCAACAGGAAAAAGAAAATGTGCAGCCTTCAGTCACGCGTATCGGTGGCTTCCATCTCACATTCCCGGGCCGAATTTCCGGACCAGTTCGTCCGTGGTGAGTAATAAAAGTACTAGTAGATGAACCTGCACAAACTGCTTTGCAAAAGCAACACTTGGAACTGATTAATTTGCTTCACAGTACTTCCTACAGAAAGACTCATTTAAAAGCTGAAACAAATTTTTTTTCCAACTCAGAGTCCACTATTATGGCAAAAAACATATAGTTTTCTTGCCAAAATATTGTATGTTCACTAACTTCCAGCATGTAGGCAAATTGCAGTTAATTTGGACATCTTCAGTTCATTTTATAGTCACTTTTGTGGTCGGCCATTTAGATGGGAATGGCCGTGTAATAAGTCATTTTGAGGGAACGGTACATTTTCTGTGACACAATGACTACTTCAATTTGCAGCAAAGCGTTATTTTTTTCAGGGTTGTCCCATGAAAAGACAAAATATTTACAAAGATGTCAGGGGTGTACTCACTTTTGTGAGATACTCTGTTGCTGGAAAAGAATCAAGTTGTAAGATAACCGTTGACTTTTCATTGATTTACTACTTTGTAGGAAATTCCAGCGCTTGCCACGCACACACATGCACAAAAATCAACAAGAACCGCGAGTACTTGAATAATGGTGTTTTATGACAGCTATAAATAACAACATAAATCAGTTGCTCCCAGTGTTGGTGAGGGTGAATGGTTACATTGGAGAAAATGTACATATACGGATGCCACACACGGGTAACTTCATTGATGTTTTTTATGGCACAATTAATAGAGGACATGGTGGTTTGAAATACTGAGAAAAGCCGACAACACTTGAAACTCAACTCGACAGAATAGTAACTTCTGGCCCAGAAGGACTCCATGGAAAACAATGAATATGGCTCTGACCTGAGTCCAGTCTGCTACTTTCGCTGTTCCCTTGACAATACTGGAACGCTAATGTCACGGCCGACCGCAAGTACAGTAGGTCAAGTTTGGCACTAGTGAAGGAGAGATGAAGATGTTGACCATGAAGGCAAAGAGAACAGACTCAATTGAAAAGAAAAGAAGAAAAAACATACCAAATAGCGACAGCTGTAAAAGAAAGGAGATACAAACAAGGACAGAATCTCAATGGACATCGTGTGTGTCTGTGTGTGTGTGTGAGTGTGTGTGTCTGCGCGTGTGTAGAAAACGGATGCATTCAGTTGATTATTCAAAAATATATATTTATGCACATACTCTTTTTGTACAGTGGCTGAACACTTGACTGGTATTAAAATGAGTACACCTGTATTTTTTTCTCTATAAATATGATTAACTCAATTGGATTTAACATTTTCTGCAGAGATTATGATTGGTAATATGGCAAAGAGACAACAATTGCTCCTTCACTTTCATAAAATGGAATGCAGAAATACATAGATGGAAAAAAACGACTGGGCCCTTTCTTCACACTGGCCACTAGAAGAAAAAGTAAAATACAGTGGTGCCTTGAGATACGAGTGAACCAATGTACGGAGATACAAGCCGTCATTCAGCCTTTTTTTTTCGTTTACTTGCGAGCCCAAAAATGAGGTACAGGCGCTTAATGGTGGCAGGTGATTCAACTCAGCTCACTTCACAATAAGCAGCAGTTTAGCAAATGGTGAACAATTTTTCAAAAGGAGACTTCCAGCTGTTTAATGCTAATCCCAGTTCAGTGTTAAACTAAATATAAAACAAAACGAATTACATTTTGGGTTGAAAACAACCCAACAATGGCCTAAAGAGAAGTCAACCTTAATGTTATTATAAAATGTTTTCCATTTTATAACATTAAGGTTGACTTTGTGACATGCAAATGATTGGCATCAATTGTTAAGGTTTTACAAACATTTAAGCAAGTGATATTTGAAAACAAATGGTGGAAAAACACACATAGACAAATAAGAATACTCACAGGCCGATATTCTGTATGCTCTGTCAAAAAAAACAGTATGATCGCAGCTTTATGAGTCACTGAGAATAGTGACAATGTGAATGCGGAGAAAGAAGAGTCACTCTCTGCTTTGTCTTGATTTATTAAACTGTCTCCAGTGGCCAAGCACCAGAACATGCTACAGATTGAATTGAATCACTAAATTATGACGCACGATCTGTGTAATTCTGGCAATTTATATTTCATGATGTTATCGCTATGCTTTTATAGAGTACATTATAGGTGCTATTTTCTTTAAAAAAAACATTTTGTTGGTTGATTTGAGTCTTTTGTGGGGAGACTGGAACAGATTAATGCCATTTCCATTCATTTCAATAAGGAAAATGATTTCACTTACACTCACATCTCAAGGCACCAATGTAGATGAAAATTGTTTGTTGGTTGGCTCAAAATGAGGCACCTGGTTAATGTATTGTTAAAAAAATAAAACATCTGAATTGAAGGAAAAATGTTGCCATGTGGCTAGATAAGTTTTTCTCCAGTGAGGTTTAGCAAACAATGTATGAATGGACAAGAGGCAGCTCCTCTCATTTGCTTGAATTTGTAGTTAACTTGTTCACTCAACTCCTTCACTTGCCCAGATGTACTGTATGGTGTTCCTCGTGAAAGTCTATTCACTCTTAATGAAATTAATTCATGCAAAGTCATCTTTGCATGAATCCTGAGTAACCTTTTTTTTTTTTTTAAACAAACGAATCAACAGGAAATTAAAAAACCATTCAATGAGACGGCATTCCTGACCTGAATGACACTAAGAGGACATTAATGAAAGCACAAAAGCATACACACTAATCACGTACTTAAAAAATAATTCAAAATGTGCTCTCTTTCTCAAAACGTTCTATCACATTCTTACCAAAAGATAATCACACATTAAAAAAACAAAACAAAAAACACATTATAGCAAAGGAAAAAAACTAAACAAAACAAAATAAAAGGGGGTGGCACAAATGAGTAACGGCATCCAAAATGATGCAGATATAATAATGCTAATCATCAGTCGACAATTCAAATCATGTCTCTGTGACTGAGTGTCATACAGTGTTTTCGTGTCACCAGCGAGGAGAAAGAACTACACAAGCCAAGGCTCTGGGCCAATATGGACTCGGTAAAGGTTCAGACAGGCACATCTGATATATACCATGTATATCTAGCTATACACACATACATTACGTATGTGTAAAAAAACCTGAAACTGAGGCTGAAAGAGTCTCTGTCTCATCTTTCCACATGTGAACAGTTCACTTTGGTAAAGGGCATCAATGGCGTCTCCATGTTGCTTTCTTGGTTCATACTCCTCGTGTTTTCTCTCTCTCTCTCTCTCTCTCTCTCTCTCTCCCGTTTTTTTTTTTTTTTTTTAAATAGTCACGACTTGTTTTGTACCTAAGGGAGGTGTAAGCGCTACGCATTCAAGGCATGGTCAAAGAAAAGGACATCCAAGGTCCTCCCAGGAATCTGATGCTCTTCTTCCGCACCTGTGACCTCATTTGTGATGGATGCTTTGTCTTCTTGTTTGAGCTGCTCCGGGAGTGTCCACGGGGATGAAAGTGCATAGGAGTTGGACTCCCACTGTTGCAGCAAGGATTCGCTCACAGTGGTAAGGCCTTTTTTTTTTTCTCGTTTCTCCAAAAATTGACTGCACAGTGTTCAGCGTGTGAGTGAAAAATGTCATTTATGTGCATGTCAGTGTGTGAAAGGCTATTGGGTGTAGGACTTTCTTTTCTGCAGCTCTTTCTGCTTCATCTTCCACACTGGTGGTGCTACTGACGCTCCTCCCCTTCTTCCTCCTCCTGGATGACCTGAATGTCATCTGAAGGCGACATGGGCATGCTGGCCGGCAGGCTGTCAGGCTGCTGCTGCTCGTCTTTGCTCTTCTCCTCTTCCTCAATGACCTTCTTCCACACTTTATGGTTCTCGGTCAGGTGCTGCATGATGCTGCAGAAAAACTGGCGGTGGCTTTTCCTCCTTTCTACAGAAGAGTAAAAAAACAAAAAAACAAACAAAAACAAAAAACAATTTTACCTGTTTTGACACTTGATAGCATACCTTAAATGTCATTCTTTCACCCTGAAATTTGATACATTTTCTCCAAAGGCACAAGAATGGAAATATTTTTAAATGTCGTTCTTTTGTATGGGTACTTGTTTTTGCTCTGCGTCAAATGTTTAGATGTGTATCAACTGAAATGTATTTTAGATCTACCAATGTGTGTTAAATTAAGGAAAATGGTGACAATGGTTGAAATTTTGAAACTATTAAACTGCACCTCCAACAAAAGTGTGTATTTGTTATGAGACAGTGGTAACAGTGTTCAACGGGGAGCTTGAAATGCAAGCAACATGGTACATTCAGGGTACTTTAGTAACACGACAACCGGTAATTAGTGTTTATACTGTTCATCTAATCACATCTCCCCTTGTATAACATTCTGATGCATCCTGCCTAAAAGTTATTTTCTGTATCAGGCCAAAAGAACCACACCAGTGTTTTACAGCGTCAAATGTCCCCAAATCTATCCAAGTCATATATGTGTATTTTTTTTTCACACGGACATTCGAAGCAGTCCTGAGAACTGTGTGTTCCCACCACAGCTTCCGGGCACCTGTTCTTCTTTGAAAGTTCACGGGAAATCTTGAAACGGTGAAAATATAAAATAGCGCAAGAATTATCACACTGACTACATCAGTTCGTAAATGTCAGACATGCCATTAATACATTTCGAACAGATGTGTAATTCATAACTGGATAAAGACAATTATGGGAATGGGAGCGTGAATGATTCTTTGTCTACGTGTCCTTTGACTGACTGGCGACCAGTCCAGTGTTTAACCTGCCCTGCACCCAAAGTCAGCTGGGAGGGGCTATAGCTCCTCAACAAAATAAGCAGTCGAAAATGGAATCATTGGTTTTACAGTTGACTCACTTGGCCGCAGATCCTCCTCAAGTTCATCCATGTCCTCCTCTTCATCATCAACATCATCATCCTCAGTGTCCGAGTCGACACGACCCTCATTGTCTTCATCCGATCCATCTCCATTCAACCACTGGCCAGGAAGTAAACCTGCGGCATCGTATGAGTTACAGAGTGGGCCGACTATATGTGTGATAAAGGACTCCTGGAGCTTTGCCAACTGTGGGGAGGAGCGGTCCATGAAAGGGCTGATGGGTAAGCCCAGGCCCGCTTCTTCATCGCCCTGCCAGTAAAAAGAAAAAAGTAGATCGGCTGCTTTACGTGCTTCATACCTTAAATAAAGTGAGAACCAGGCAGTTTAAATGCTGAATATGCCATTTAGACAAAACATTTTAAAAAACAGATATGGCCCTCAATTTATTAAAACTCATTCACTGTATATTTTAAGAATCCAGTCATTAAATCCCAGTTATGCGTTTATATGTATATTTTCTTTTTTTTTTTTTCACGTGGTATTGTAAAGGAGGGTCTGAAAATGGATGGCAGTCATCTTCTTTTTCCTTTAGGCTTGTCCCATGAGGGGTTGCCACAGCTTGTCATCCTTTTCTATCTTCGTCTAAAAATTAGGCTGAAATATATTCAACAGCAAACCATATGACTTGAGGGAGATGAGAGGCAGCGACAATGCTGGTCACGTGACGATAACGATAAACTACATCTGTGAAGCCATATTATCCATCCATCCATTTTCTGATCTGCTTATTCTCAACAAGGGTCGCAGAGCGTGCTGGTGCCTATCCCAGCTGTTTTCGGAGAAAATTGTCAATTGAAATGACAAAATCGACTTGACCATTTAATTGCCGCTGAATTTTTACATTTCACTGAGGTTTTGAACAATCTTATGCATTCAACTTTGGCGGAACAAGTTGAGAATGGTGCCATTATTTATTTATTTGTTTATTTTTAAACACTTTGGCAAGTCTGAATTTAGAATCGTAGCTCCAGTGTAATGCCACGTTACGTCTCAACATGTAAGACAGCAATAACAGCTACTGGAGATGATGCAGTGCAATCAAGCATAAATATGGATGCAGAGAAGGTCTGGAATTTTCTCCTACACACTCCAGTAATCGTTGTGGTTGTCACAGAGAAGAGAGAAAATACAGTATGCCTGTGAATTTTGTAACATGCCGTGTTTGTATGTGCTGCTTCTTCGTATGAGTTCGTGGCAGTTTTTTTTTAAGGATAATAACGTAACATCTAGCCTGCTAGTTTCCGTTAGCCCGTCAATAGTAGTTCACATGAATATAGCAATAATTTTATGAAATGTAATTATATGGTTTGGTTCCATATATATATATAATGTAAACCGTAAATGTGGGACTGACAACAAAAGCCTCTCTTTAGGAGCACTAATTGAGCAGGAGTCTTCTTTTGTCGTCCATGTGCTGAGATGTGAGGCTTATATGTTAACATTTCAAGAGCGATGACACATACACAGTTAATGTGTCTGAAATACAAACATATGATCAATAAGTGCTCTTTCCATGAGGAATATGTCCATGTAACACAAAGATGCCAAGTAACAGGATGGCATGCATCCAATATTACCTGTTCATAAAACTCACTGACAATGCCCTCTGTCCATTTCAAATGCAGGTCGCGGACTTTGGCCGGTCCGTTGATGTCTGCCAGCTTGATACATACTTGACACACTAGCAGTCTGTCATTCTCATTGGTCCAGTCAATTCCTGGACTGTTCACATCATTGACCTTGAAGTCAAACAGACAGACAAACATTCATTAAAGCCATGTGCATCATTTGTCCTGATCATATTCCAGTAAGTTAAACTAAATTAAAGACAGATAGTTAAGAATTCTGATCACGTATTGACCTTGGAATTGAACTCAGCCAGGAAGTCAAAGTGCTTCTTGAGGTCTGTGGCTAGAATGGCCTCAATGACCAGGAAGCGAAAGCGCTTGAACTCCACATGATCGAGGTTGACCAGGAAGTTAAACTCTGGCCGGGATAGGTAGAGGTTCCAGGCCGATGCAGCGTGATGGTTCTCCAGCACGGAGCGGTCGTTGTACAGCACCGCCTGTGTTGTACATGACGGGAAGAGCCACAGGTTAGAGTAGGGACCATGACACAGAAGCCTGCAGGTTTTGCACACTGCTATTTCACACTATTCATAATTCCCTCCTCCTTTTTAGGATCCAGCTCCACCTGAGGAAAAATAGCCACTCAGAATAATGGTACCAAAACCATTTTGCACTGTATGTATGGTGTTCTTTTGGTCATGAGTTTTGTTGTGTTTGTGCCCTTTTAGAAATGGCTGCCAAAAATGTCAACCTTGTTTTTCTTTAGCTGGAAGTGTAGGCTTACAGAAGGTGGAAGGAAGTGTGAACAGTTCGAAATTGCCGTCAGTCCAAACACAAAATCTTGAAGCTTCTGCTAGAAAGCTAAGAAATATATGAAAAGCCTACTAGAACATCTGAAATGTATTTCGGGATAAAGAATTTCTTGAAGTGATGACAGGTGTCTGCTGACTCCCATTTAACATGAATTTGAATGTGATTGGTTCATTCCGAATGGCTACATCCTAGATATAACACAGCGTGTGCACTTGTGCAACCATATTATTCAGTGGTTTATTTTTTACGTCCCTTCTTGAACATAATTTTTCTTCTGATTGAGTTATAAAGATTATCGTTCACAATGGTGGAAAACGTTTGGAAATTATTTTTTGTGATTTCATTTTGCATATCAGAAAAACCTCACATTTGAACAGGGGGCTGCATATTTTTCATATTCCCGGCAATGTTGTGGAAATGACCTATATGACGCAACTATAATATGTCATGCATAGAGCGTCACATATGGATTAACATGTAGATTTCATTCAGGAAACAAAAAAAAAAAAAAACGAACCATTTCTTCAATTAATGTTGCAATGCAACTGGTGCGTTTCTGAAGGAAGAATCATAGAGATAGGCACACTTTGCAGCACCAAAGATCTTCTGCCAGACATGTTTGTCAAAATCATCAGTGATCAATAGGTTCAGGGTCCCTTGCCTTTGCTCTTAACCCACTTTCTTATTTGAACAGGGGCACATAGCTGACCTTATCAACTTTCGCATCACAGTGCGGGACAGATGCTGAACATGTGGACTCCATTTCTTAAAAATGGAATATCCTTTCAGCAACATTCAATAATTAAAGGGACACATTTTTATTTTATTTTATTTTTTCAGATGTTGAACGATCCAGACCCAAAAGTACCGGGTGCTTCTTTAGCCCATCCGTGTTCCACCCTTCCATTCCATTTCAATAATTCTTCCAAGTGTCTTTCTGTGTGATCTTCCTGACAGTAGTGTGTAGACTTATGCCAGGACAAATGAAAAGGATTCGGTTTTCCACTTTGTTAAAATGGATTCGGTCCAGCTGAATTGGGTTTCTCCTTTACTATGGTTGTCGTGCCATCCAATCGCTCAGGCAAAGGAGAGAGTAATAGCATTTTTATAGAACACCTAAACAGCTTGACTTTGAGTCAGGAGGCATGTAAAGAGGGGTCATTTCAGGTTAATAACGACTATCTGGTTAAACCTTAACCATGAGCATCGATGTGAGGTTTCTTTAGAACGCCGGACATCTAAGGACACCACTGTGAAGAAGAAAAACTCTAGTGGAGTGTAATTACATTGATTCAAAACAGGAGAGGCAGATTATGCAAGCAGTCGGTGCCATGTGCTTCCCTGTGCAGTGCATTAGTGAGCGCCAATGTTGGTTTGTTTTTTTAATGGGTGAGTGCATCAGTGGGGAAAGATAAATGCTATTCTGTATATAATTTTTTGAGATGAAAGTAAAGTCTCCACCAAAACGGTGCCAGACAAACCCACTCCCAAAGTGACCTATTCAAGTTCCATACCTATATTTTTATTCGCCGAACAATGGTAGGCTCTGTTGTGTGTGTGTGTGTGTGTGTGTGTGTGTGTGTGTGTGTGTGTGTGTGTGTGTGTTTTGTGCACTCACCTATTTCTGTCTCTTTCTTCAATCTAGAGTCATACAATAATTACCATGTGCCATTGTAATTTATGTGTGCAAACTTAACTTTTCTGAACACATGTAAACTTTAACTAAGACAATTTGTTTACCTGGGGCGCATTAGTGGCCACTAAAAAGGCATTCGTGCGACCAGGGTGGTCATAGTCGTGCATTGCAGCTGCTACATATAGGGCCATGAGCTCCAGAGCAGGGATGTTCCAAGCCAGGCAGCCATAGCTGTCATCTGATATCGAGGAGCTCTTGGACGAGGCGTATGATATCCTCCCAGGAGAGATCCCGCTGTCTGAGTCTGGAACACAGAGTGTTAATTAGACACATGTCAAAGAGTCTTGGGATTTCAACACTAAGATCTGTATGTCGATGGAGTACTCACATGTTGTGTATTGCATACTTCAAAAAATGAGTTGAAGACAGGATGAAATAATGTTAAATATATAGCGTAATTTTAATGTTTGAAAATTCTAAGGGTGTACCAGTTGAAAAGTGACCACATTTTTCAAGAAAAAAAATCTGCTCATTTCTGAAAAATACAGACTTTGTACCATAATCAAAGAATGAGCAATTTATTTTATTCGCATTACTTTGTTATGCAGTGGTAAGCTTCTTTCTACATTTATGTGACCATTTAGACCAGAGCTGGGCAAAGTATGGCCTGAGATCATACATACCGGCCAGCCCATCCAGCATTTACATGAACAAAAGTCCTGTATTACATATTGCATTCCTTTCGATGTAATTTGAACTAAACAAACAAATAAACAGACAAACAAACAAATAAATACATTATGTTACAAAGTAATGTAAAACAGTTGGCCAATTTTTGCCTTTCAGGTATATTACTCGATGCTTTTTTTCATACTATTTTCTATGGGGTTCACCTGTGTCACTTCCGGTCACATGCTCACTGTGGATTTGCTGGAACCCAGGGATTGGTCGAGTGGTCAGGTACCAGACAGCATGGAGCACATCGGTAGCATGGACTCGGTTATGATCTGCGAGCATTTCATCCAAAGCAATAAGCCGTAAGTTGACTGCGTTTGGCTGGCCGTTCAACGTTACAACACACGGGTGACTGAGCTCATTCAGCAATGGACATTGTGATGACGCATGACTAAACAATGAACAAACATTAATCTTGAACATTTCTAGAGGCCTCACGCAGCGTGAACACTCACAGGGAATGTCCCTGTAGCCATTTTCCAGAGCAAAGAAGTATGTCATGAACTCCCTCACAGGGATCTTGAATATTTCAAACAGACACGTATCCTGGAAAAGGGTGTAAGTCACCTGGGGAAATACAGACCATCTTTACTGAAACACACATCAGAACACCAGGTAAGCATAGCACCACCATCAGTCACAAGCTTAGCATATGCAGTGGAATAACATGAAAAACTGCCTTGAGGTACAGTTTGTGTTCGTAAGTGTGTTAGGTTAAGCTACAATTTCAAACTAAAAGAAACACAATTTTAAAAAGTGCTGTCGGGCAAGTAGGTTTGGCGCAGCTTACTCACATGAAATGTAAATGGCCATCCTAAGATCCAAATTAGAGTAGCATTGACAGACGACTAGTTTTGATTACATTTAGACCGAACAGACGCGCTGATGGAACCAAACAAAGTACACTGAATTGACCTTTTCTACAAGATATTTATCCGATGGGGACACATATCATGACCACAGCCTCAGCGCACAACAAAAACACAAGAGCAAACATTCGCATCGGATTACTAACATAGCTGAGTATTCTTCCTGTCTTTCCTCCTGTTTTGTCTACCAGGTCAAAAATCTGAAAGTTCCAGGTGTTCATCCTCTCCATGAGGGCATCATGGTCTTCCAGCATCGGGTCGAGTCGAAACTCCTGCTCACCCTAGAGGGGACCAATCAAGCATTATTATTATTATGCTTCATTGTGGACATTCATTATGGTTGCTGTGACTCTGGGATACAATTTACCCCCAATTCCTGAGTTTGCTTCTCTGTGCTGGGGCTCTGTTCCTCCTCAGCATCACCCTGCTTCCCTGTGCTCACAATCTCTCCAGGTAGCTCCACTTCCATGCTCTCCTCCCTGATTAAAGGTTCCCCTGGGAACTCTGGCCCTTCTCCTGCTGCCCTCATAAAAAGAAAACAAAAATCTAATTCAAACTTAATTAATTATGTGATACACAAATTTGAAATTTGAGTCACACACACACACACACACACACACACACACACACACACACACACACACACACACACACACACACACACACACACACACAGCAAGAGGTGGAACTACCCTCTTTGAAACTTATGGATGGAAGGTGTTGCTCATTGTGACATGACATTATTTGGTGTAATTTTATTTACCTGAGCGCCTGCGTTGGGCCTCGCTGAGGAAGGGCTGATTGAGATCCCCTGAATCGCCGACGGAAACTCCCTTTGGCATCTGACGCCAGCAGCTGGCATGGACAAGTCAAGTCTCGTGCATGACTATAATTAAACAATAATGAGCAAGAAATTCATGTCTCTGTCGGGTTTTTTTTACCTGGTGCAAAGAGGTAAAGTGGAGCTGCGGAATGCCTGCTGGAAGTCACATGAGCTGAGCGTATAGCCCAAAGGCTTGTGCAGGTTCACGTTGAGACTTGGCTTTGTCAAAAAGTCCGCTGTGTCTGGGAACTCCACAGGCGACCGAGTGACCAGGGACGATGAAGAACCTGTGGTTACAGATGAAGGACTGTGGCCGGGAGAGGTGACGGGACTCAGACTAGGAGAGTTCCCTGATAAAGGGTGTGGGGGTATGGGAGGGGGTTTTCTTGGTTAAAACATGTTTAGGGTATTTATTTGTTGTGGACTCTATACAAAAAAAAATATAAAATAAATTGGAGAGTAAAGATGCTGTATTTCAGATTGTAGCTTTGAAGATAATTTTCCTGTGGAGTCACTTTCGCAAGTAAAAAATAAATTTAAAAATAGGGTATCAAAAAATATTATTAATAATAATAATAATAATAATAATAATACAATTAATAAATTAAAACATATAATCTACCATTATTTGCTAAAAACCTTAGCTTTAAGGGTCTTTGTGCTCAGGCAAAAGCAATTAAAGTACTTCTTTGGCGCCATCTGATGGTTTGGTTGTTGTTAGGTTTATTTTAGTGATTTTGTTCATCTGCGTTTGAGTTGTCCCTGCATATCTTATCGGCAGTCCTCGAATGCACAGTCGAATTTGTAACTGAAAATTTGTTTCCGTTTTTGTTCTGATGCAGTCACAGTAGCCCCCTAATAGTCTACTTTGCCATTACGCTTTGTATGACCTAATTTTAATTAGTGTGTACATGACAAGAGAACAGTTTCTTATATATCTATTATATTTATAATGAGCCTCGTGTGAAAGAGCCTTGTTTACGAAGGACCTGTAATTTGTAATGGAATTTAATTCAGCAGGGAGGGTTTTTTTCCCCCCCATTCTTGAGAATGATGATTGTCCGAAGGCCTTTTTAATGCAACGAACAGGTTGTCCTTGTTGTTCTATTTTTCTGCACAAAAGTGGTTAAGGTGTGGCGATTCTAAAAACCGTGATGTACATCTTAAAATACAATCATATTTTCAAACAGAGCTCTTTGTTACAAGTTGAACTCTGGCAGAAAGATGCAATTGGCTCCCACCTGCTCTCCTTGACCCTGCGTGGTAGGTAAGGGTGACAGAAGAAGACCTTTGCTTCGGAATGGTGAGCAGGTTTGCATTTGGCCCATTGGACAGTCCTGAGCTGGATACAACAAACGTGAATATATGTTGTTGCCTGTTATCATCAGTCTGACTGACTCTTCACTTCAGCCCAATTACAATGGAGCTAATACAATGAAGAAGTACTGGCATCTTGTGGAGAATGATAGTCACTACAGTCGTATGATTGTTTTTTTTTTTTCTTCCCCCTGAATGTTTAGTATGTCATTAGGGGTGTTCACACGGCCACATTTGCTCCGGTGCAGTGCGGGCTGCCCCAGTAGAGTGTTCACACGTGCAAAGTTACACCGGTGTAGCCCCTGAAAACAGCTTAAACCGGAGCAAATTGAACGCCTCTCGAGCAGAAGGCACGGAGACCGAGAAGGAGAAGGACGTGCCTGTACAGTAGTTGCTTGAGTTGTGTATGTTTTAAAAAGAACCAACACGACAGCTCTTTGTTTTCTATCGTTTTGCACCGCTGCAAAAACTGCCGTGTGAACGCAAGTGGGGCTGGCACGGGGTTAACACGCTTCTCTTTAGTCAGCGGCTTTGTACGTGTGAACGCTCCACAAAATTTGCTCCGGTGTAAGATATATCGCAACAAAATACATCGGTGCAGCACCGAAGCAAATGTGTGCTGTGTGAACACCCCTATTCTTTACCAGGTATCAGTTGCTTCCTTTAATTTAGCCCTAACGCACCATTGAGACACAAATATACATTAAGACCACAAAAGAAACAATACAAATATACATCCAAGATATGATGAATTCAAAGGAATTTAGGCTACATTGACACTGCAGGGTGTAATGCCCAATTCAGTTTTTTTGGTCAAATACGATCTTTTTAGGTTGAATTGAACTCCTAATGTCAACGGACTGCATCTGTGATGTGACATGCATGCGCACAAAGCACGACGTTGAGTGACAGACACAAAAGAAACCATGACGCGGCAGTGTTTACAGAAATAGATATGCTCCAGCGTGAAGGGGCTCATCTTTCAATCATCTACAGAGGCGCGATGTGGGAGGATGTATAAATATTTTGGGGAAATGAGGCAAGGTTTTTCAATCTCCTCATTTCATGGAGATGTCCACTTGAAATGGTGTTGCATCGTTGCTATGTGTAATAAATGAACCACATTTGTGTCTGAATTACAACTATCACCACAAATGTATACTTTATGCTTCATGTTTAAAGTGAGACTAAAGTCAACACTCTTACTCAAAACAACTTTGCAGATTCATGAACAATTGTCAAGCTCCCTCCCAAGCACGACCCATCTGCCCGCGCTGAGCGCAAATTGGGCCTTTGATGACATATAGGTCGGATACATGCGAACTGTCCTTTCAGACTGAGGTTGCGTTGTAAAAAAAATCAGATATGTAGCTGATCTAGGACCACATATGAAAGTGACCGGAGTTGGATTTGAAAAAATCTAAATCTAGCCATTGAAATTGTCATGAAAGATTTTTTTTATTTTTTATTTTTTTTTTATCAATGTTGAAAATCAAATACTGGTCACATATAGGCAAAAAAAAAAAAAAATCTAATTTGTGTGGCTTTTTCCTGCAGTCTGAAAGTTGCCAATGAAAAAGATGAGCAGCTGCAAATGAATGTTTTGTTTGAGTGTGCAGCAATGTGGCTGTGTGACAAGAGCAAAGGCTGTGTGTTGTGTTGATACCTAATCAAGTTAAGGTCAGGGTGTGATCTCTTGCCGGTGTTACGTTCCCACCGTGATGAAAGTGTGTCGATAGGAGGCAGCACAGAAGAGGAGGTAGAACTCCGCCTGGGCTGAGGAGTAGGCAGGCTGTTTCTGCTGCTCAAACCCTGTCAAGAGTAAATTATGTTTAAGACTTGTCATCCTGCATATTATAATAAAACGTGCCAACAGAATGTACAATCATTTTCAAACTTTGCCCAAGAATTTATCAGAAAAATGTAAGAAAACGAAGTTCTTAACCCTTTCAGGTTCAGCGGCTACTAGAGTGGACATCTATTCACATGTTGTTTTCTCTTATATTAAATAATCTTAATGTCACAGTTGTGCGTCAACCACTACAATGGACCCTTCTGTGTATTGCCATCCACTGCCATTGTTTATTTTCATGCCTAAAGACTAATCAAAAACTTGAGAAAAAAAATCCTGATGTAGGTTATTAATATTTGTGCATGAAAGGGTTAAATACCTTCATCAGGAACAAGTCCTCATGCAACACAATCCACACACAGTTATAAGATACTACACCTAAAAAAAAAGCACTCTTTTGAGGACAAAAATGTGTATTTTCCTGACAGAGAAGACAGCTGGTTTTAAAGAGGAATGAGAAAGCCCATATACGTGAAGATGAATTTCTGGGCTCTCAAAAGAATGGGTTAGATATTTATATATACCGGTACTGTGTGTGTGTGTGTGTGTGTGTATATATATATATATTTTAGATATTTCCTAGTAGAATTATGCAAAAACTACATACTGTGAAACCGTAGTCATATGGTACATGAAGCAAGAAGATCAGGATAAAGTAGATACGTTCCGAGATTTTTATTTTACAGTTCACTTGAATTACATTGCCCCAATTACCATAACTTACTTTTAAGTAGTTGAGAATTAACCGGAAAATTATTGAGTCAAATCAAAATACTGTACAGTATTTAGAATTGTTCTACGATGGTTTGGTTGTGCGCTTCACTGAAAGACATGTGACTTTTGCTCATGTATTTTTATAATGCATATACCCACCTTAATGGTTTTACGTTCACTCCTCTCCACTGAGTCATCCACCTCATCACAGGGGTAAAAGCCGGGGAATGGGGTGAAAGGGTTGACCCGGGGCCGACACGACCCTGAGAAGGTCCCCATGAGGTTGGAGATGCTGTGCAGGGTTGAGATTGTTTGGGATGACAAGGACGAGTCCATCATCAGTTCTGACACCAGGTTTCTGGCCTCGTTGATGACTGACAGGTCAACGCCATTGCCACTCGCCGCGCCCTGACATATAATAAGGTGGAGTCGTGTCAAGGCAGCATAAGAGATCTATGACAATGCTGACGTATTTGAAAGAAGACATAACACGTTTCACTCAGTAAGTCCCATGGTGCAATGTGCATGTAACCATTTCTACAGTTTAAGACTGATCATTGTACGCAACCACCTCATTCAAAAAGAGTCTCAGTGTGATCAGTAAGAGAGTTAAGTCTTAGCATTACAAAAAAGTCCTGAGTATATGACTAAGTAATATAATAAGCAGTGCTTAAATTAAGCTATAGATTGCTGGTGGTAGGGCTCCAACAATTAAATTACACACACACACACACACACACACACACACACACAAAAAGGTCAAAGCAGATTCTTTGCCTTGGATTTTCGCAGGGATCATTAGTTTTCAACACAGATTAATGTTGCAGCAATAAGGCAGGAGAAAAGAACCCTTTTGACTGAGAATGTATATTATTTGGGGCCGCTTTCAATCGCTTTATTGAACAAATGACAAAAAAAAAAAAACATACATGGGGAGAACAAACAACATGAAGACATTTCAATGAACCAGCAGCTCCGAGCTGTGCAGCAGACGTACTAAGCACGACCATTCCTGTGCATTTTCAGTGTGGTTCAAGTACCCCTTCACAAAATTAAAAAAAATATTCCTTTACCTTGAAAAGTTCAACTTGTTTCTAAACTTGGTCATACAACACTATGTTTAAAATTTGAAGCAATATAGTTTTCCTTATGATCTGGCTCAGTCGCCATGTTTGTATTTGGATTCATACTGTATATCATTCAAAGAATAGTGTCTGTGTATTCACTTTCTGTTGAATAAGTTATTTTACATTTTAAGAATAGCAGGAGTCTGTACATGTCATTCGGTTTAAATGAATATTTAATAACAGAAAGGACACAGGACTATTAATCTCAGTGAACCCCAAAAGCATCCTACAATATATATCGATAAAACAGTAACAGAATGGGACTTTGGGCCGTGGGAGCAAAATTCTTTGACAGAGTAAACAAATAGTTCTTAGAGGGGTGGGAATGTCTGAGTGTGATAAAATGTGGCAAGTCAACAATGTCAAGGTCATTATGTACCAGCTTTCAAAGTGTGTGTGTGTGTGTGTGTGTGTGTGTGTGTGTGTGTGTGTGTGTGTGTGTGTGTGTGTGTGTGTGTGTGTGTGTGCGTGCATGCGTGTATGTGTTGAAGTGCCAGCAACTGGTGATTTGAAGCCATCTTTTATTAGGGTCAATAAGCATGTTTGATACAGTATCTGTATGTGCAATGAGAGACGTTACTGACCTGATACTGTGGTTTATACCAATGCTTTAGATCCCAGTCCCACAAGATCATCTGGAAAGGAGAGTTACACACATTCTTAGAAAATAAATGGGCGCTAATAGCAGGCAGCATAAAACTTTACAGGCTAAAAGCTAAAACAAACACTACATTGCAGATTTTCACAGTGCAGTACTGGAAGGTCATCATGAAGGAAACCATCTGTTAGTCCATTCTTCTTCTTATCTAAATCCACAGAGTAGTACGAGTGTTTACATGAAGGATTTGATGCACAGCATGATACACTTCACACAGCAGGTATGCTATGAACGCTGCCTTACTGAAAGCAGACTGAGGAGGAAAAGTAAACCACCAAAACCACAGCGGTGCATCTACAATGGAACTATGGGGATCTTATCTGGTGGCAACTACGTCAATCGGCCGCATTTCCATGCTATCTGTCGGTAACCAAACAGCAGTTGCGCTCCAGAACAGAATACTGTACAGTCAGTTAGAGCAGGTTGCGTAACACCACACCACTGGGCCTCAAATGACCCAATCTGCAGTTTAGATTGTGACTAATTTGACGAAGAAACATCCATGTAATGTAGCCCTCGAACTTTGTCGTCAAAACACATGAGTTTATGAGGATTTGCTTGTTTTGAATGGCAAACTTATGTTTTCGGAAATTAAAGCAAGTATGTTGGTCATTCTAGAATTGGAGGATATTTTGTGTCCCCCACCATGGAATTTTAAATAATCCACGCACAAAATGGAAAAAAAACATGCACATGTTGTGTAACTGTACTAAAAGTGATTCCGAAATATTTAAATGACCTAAAATAACCACCCCTGAAATGACTATTTTCTCGACATCAAGACAGTTACTTCTCTCTTCTATTTTTATGTTTTACCACAATGGTGTGTGTTACCTATGCAACGCTGTTACGCATATATTCCAGATTTTTTTTTTTTTTAAACATACAGTATTGCTAAATTTGTTCGTGACCAGGTAGCATAGCAGCTAAAACAGCTAGCATGTATTCTGACATCAGCACTAATTTGTAACCTTTTTTAAAAATTATATTGCTAAAATTGTTCTTGACCAGTTAGCATAGCAGCTAAAGCAGCAAGCATGTATTCTTACATCAGCACTGATTTGTAACCCTCTTTAGTTAGAGTACCGTAATACTAAAATGTAATTTGTTTTCAAATAAAATTTTACTTTTTTTTTTTTTTTTTTTGGTAGCAAAGGAAATTTATTCAGCAATATTGTTGAAACATGTTTCTTGGGTGCCTCAGTAGCTGTAACAGGGTTGGATCAAGCAACAGCAAAACATGATGTATGACAAATAAAATATCTGATGAAAAGTGTAGCTGAGCTGGAATCAAATGATTTGTTCTGTTTCACTTGAAAAAAAATAACAAATTCTAAAAGAAATTGTCACCTCAAAAAAATATTAGTGCCTGAATTGTCCTAATCTTCAGAAGTGCCCAATGTATTTTAACATAACTTTAAGCCAAGATACATGTGGTTCACTGTCTTAAATATAGGCCTATGAGTTCATAGTCACTTGTTAACAAGCCCAGCTTCACTCTTGCAGCCACAAGAGGGCGAGACACACAAATTTGCTTATGCCTTGGTGCATAGTATCCCAGCCTTTACATACAATATCTTATCTTATCTCAGAAAAATGTCAAGCCCAGCTCACAACTAAAATGTCACAGAATTATACATACATCATTCAAATACTGTAATTATGATATTGATCTTTACTCACAAATGAGTACTAATTAAACACAAAGCTATCATCTTTATATGGTAATGGTGGATACGTAGGTTAATTAATTGTACATTAAGCCATCTAGAGCAAGAGCTGTCACTATATGTCACGGGCAGAGAAAGAGCAACAAAGAACAATTATTTCTTGTAAATAAATGTATTAATTTTCAGACAAACTGGACAACTTTCCACATAACACCTGATGACCACACACGGCACATTAATGTGCTGGTGCACAGTGGTTGTGAATCGCTGACTTAGATTTAAATGAGAAGCTAGTAAGAAGTAAATTAATACGTGTAAATAAGTGCAGATTTTCATATGAGCCCAATTGTGTCAATTATAATGTGGTGTGTAAAAAAGAAAAGAAAAGATAGACATCTAAAATAGTGCCACACGGATGTGACAGAAATTCAAACAAATAATTTGCCATACAAAATGTTTTTTTTTTGTATGGCAATTGTGTATATAAACAAGCATCACATGCTGCATGTGACATGAATACAAGTCCAGATTGTTCCATAGTAGAGTGGCACAATCCCGTCTCCTCTAATCATCCGCTGCTTCGTTGATCAAAGTGGCATATTGGGTGTTTGTCATCAGAATCTGGATATTGGTGCCAAATATTTAATATGGCAAATAAGCCCTTGCCATGGCAACTAGACACAGAGGCCAGTAAAGGGTGGGGGAAGAAAAAAACCAAGGCAACAAGATGGCGGGAGATGGCCAGAGGACGGAGTAGGGTTGTTAACTTGTTGGCCCTCTGCCTGTCGACAGAGAAGAATGGTGGATCTGGAACAAGGCAGTAGACGTGAAGTCAAGGACATCAAGAAGGGAAGGAATAGACTTTGTGAAGAACACTTAATTTAAGACAGGAAGTACAGAAAAAAGGTGGTGACAGTTACATTTTCGACTGAACCTTTCAATCATACACCATCGATTTTGAGTACCACTTGTCCGCATCAGGGTTTTGTGTAAGATGGAGCCTATCCCAGCTGACATTGGGCAAGCAGCGAGGTACACCCTAGGCTGGTCACCAACCAATCGCTGGCACTTACAAATAAACAACCATTCACACTCACAATCAGACCAATGGGCAATTTAGAATCTTCAATAGAGGTTAAGCATTTGCATTTGGCAAAACAGGACAAAACACCTCCTTCCAGTTCAAGTCACTGGCAGAGCCCGACTGCAGGAGATGTCGACAAAGCACTGGTGGAAACATCTACAATAGAGGTGGAATGACTACTCAATTAATCATCAACTTCATCGATCATTCATTTTGATAATCAATTAATTCTTTCGAGACCTAAAATTGTTCTTTTGCTGCATCCTCAACCAAGGCAATAGCGTTCGAGTAGTTTTGTCATTGACTGGTTAGCAGGTCTACCGAGCAAGTCTGCCACACAGTGCAGAGGTGCAGGGTTCGATTCCATCTACGGCCTTCCGGTGTGGCGTTTGCATGTTCTCCTTGTGCCTGCGTGGGTTTTCTACGGGTACTCCAGTTTCTTCCTACATTCCAAAAATATGCGTGACAGTTTAATGGAACACTCTGATGACCTTATTGCTACGTGATCCAGGAACTGGAAAAGCTGGTACCACCATTACCACATAGGTCACAACACACAGCTTAGTGTATTTGCTGGAAAGGGGAAAAAATGGATGATCTTTCAATGAACAGGACATATTTTCTTCAGTGATGTTATGACAACATGACATGATGGTATAGATGGGGTGACAGCCAACTAAGCTGTTCTCACATGCCAACTTGCTTGCATAACAACAATACAATACTTCTCACACCAAACACATTTGGGTGTACAAGGACATGCTTGCATTCTGAAGTCATAAGAAAACATGTCAACACCTCTAACTGACGCGCTAGTCTCTCACCACATAGCGAGTCTATGTTTGTGGAAGTATATGTTTGTGCATTTGATCAACATTAAAAGAAACATGTACAGTAGCACATTGACAGACATACACACGACAGACATATACACAAAACATTAACACAAACATGATGGACTTCAAGCACAATGACAAAAAAGTAGGACATTGAAAAAAAACCCAAAGCACTCAACATGAGTGCAGTCGTAAATATCTCTTAACAGGACTCAATAAACTTGTGCAAGCTATAAGAGGGCCAGCTAGTTGCACCTGTGTGTCATATTGGCGAGGCTGTAGCACTGTGGTGTGAGAGGACGGACCTTGCTCAAACTGATAAAAACATGCTAACTAGAGCGTGTGTGAGCGGGAGGGTGGGCCAGAGAACAGGTATCAATGGCAGGCAGGACATTTGTATGGAGGTGGGTGACCGTGCTGACGTCAGCCTGCAGCGACGCACGCTGATAATGAGGACTGAGCTGCGGCTGCCAAGACACGCACAGCCACAGCAAGGGAAAGAAAATGATATGGAATAGAACATAGAAAATGGCGAGAAGTTTGCAGTTAGTGTCTGTGTTTTTCTGTTCCACAAGTCCTACAAGTCTTAGGAGGGAAAAGGGCTGATTGGGCCTAATTTGGACAGTTTCACTTGGGGGTGCACTCACTTTTGTTGCCTGCCGTTAAGACATAATGGCTGTGCTGAATTAACTTTGGAGTAGAGTCAGTTTACACTTATGTAACCTGTACACTGACTACATTTTAGCAAAGTGTCATTTCTTTTGTGTTGTCCCAGGAAAAGATACAAAATATTGACAAAAATATGACTGTACTCACTTATGTGGGATATTGTGGCTTGGACTTGCTAGAATGAGTCATGTCATAAAACATAGTGCTCTCATAAGAACTGACGTTCTGGTCAACGGTGTGATCGAAGGGGCAAGTAATATGCCTAATGAACATGAACCTTTGATGAATGCCACATTCCCAATAAATATTTATTTATATTGCTTACATGTTCTCTGGCCATTAAAAAAATAATTTAATTTTCAAATTCCGTTAAAAAAAAAAAAAAAAAAAAAAAAAAAAAAAAAAACGACCAATTGAATAAATACCCGAAGGTTGAACACAATTTGCTCTTAGATTCTGGATCAGATTCAGTTCATTCGGATTTTTAAAAATAAGGCCAATCTAAGCGTCTAACTGTAAGCATTATCAAACTTTCGTATCTGGACAGGGAATGTTTTAAGAAACATTGTACATGTTCAGTAGCCACATAAGTGTACAAGTTTTACATTATTGTTCATGATTAAAAAATATACTTCTCCCTTAACAAATGAGGTGTGCGTAATAAAATCATTGTAGATGCGCAAATTTTATTTTATCTTTTTAACACCCAATTTAAGTT